TTAACGGCTTCCTTGACGGATGCCTCCGGAACAGTCAACTGGATCACCCACCCTACCTGCCGAGAATCCTTGGTGACTTCCTTTATTCGAAGACTATCTGTCCGTCCGCCCTGCATGAAAAAGGGACCCACTTTGATCTGCATAACCTCTACGGGTACATGCATGCTAAGGCGACATGGACGGCCCTCCGACGCCTGATGCCCGGACAGCGTCCGTTTGTGCTTAGCCGATCGACATTTACGGGTGCTGGTCGCTACACCTATCACTGGACAGGGGACAATTTCGCCACCTGGGAAGACCTCGCTGCCTCAATCCCACAGATCCTAAACTTCAATATTTTTGGAATTCCTCTGGTAGGCGCGGATGTTTGTGGTTTCATTGGAAACACCACGGAGGAATTGTGCATTCGGTGGAGTCAACTGGGTGACTTTTACCCCTTCTCGAGAAATCACAACATTCTAAACGGTCGGGAACAGGATCCCACTAGTTGGGGTGGCGTGACTGTGGGCACCATTCGGAGGACTATCGAACTCCGCTATAGCCTGATACCCTACCTGTACAGTCTCTTCTACAGGGCAAATTTAGACGGGAGAAATGTTGCACGCGCGCTATCACTTGAATACCCAAAGGACCTGACGTGTCATTCGATCAAAAAGCAGCTTCTCTGGGCTTCCTGTCTTCTGATCACGCCTGTGTTGAAGCTGGGTGCCAGGAGCGTCTATGGCTATCTACCGCAGGGTCAGAGGATCGGACTGAATGGCCATTTACGTCTCAAAAGTAAAGGCGAATGGTTCTATTTTGAGACACCACTAAATCAGATTCCTCTTCACGTGAAGGCTGGCTGTGTACTGCCAATGCATGTGCCTGCACAGACACTTAATCAGGCGCGCGAAAGAGGAATTGGTGTTTTGGTTGTCCTGAAGTAGAGATCCGTGGAGCAGATATTTAGCTGCGGCGTGGGGGGAACTCTTCTGAGATGATGGTCTCACTGAGAGGCAGGTCTATACGTATGTCACCTTCATTGTGGCTTTCCGACAGTTTACCATTCTTCATAGGGTGGTTCGATCAAAGCCTCAGGACAAGCTCCTGCAGCATTGCGATTATTGGCATCGTCAGACGACCAAAGACAGTATACTTAAATGGCCAACGGTCTGCATTCTCCCACGACGTCAAGACGAGAATGTTACTGATTGAGAATCACCCAAGCATCCGTTTGACCACGAAAACGCAGCTCTCTTGGAGTTTTTAATCAGAAACCTTGTTGAAAGAGGCCTTTTCCCGATGGTTTGAGTATTCATGAGTTTATATTTAACCTTTGTGAAATGTGAACTATAAAGGTAAGGGATACGATGTAACACTGAAATAAAAACACCTATGCTTCACCATACCTCCATTTTCTTTCTGCACCCCTCTTTTGGCGTTAATGTTTAGCTATATTCTGGGGAAGTGGAGGGCTCATTAACGCATACACGATAATCACGTCGGTAGAAGCAGTGACCTGTTGGCTAGGGACAGATAATGCAACTATCGTTAGCAAAAAATAGCAAGTGTAACACAGCTTACGTTGATATACCAATCACGGCCCACAGAAGAAAATATAGTAGATAGTAGTGGGTAACTGTACATTGATCTGTTTTGGGATGTATCCATCCTGGTTTATGCCTTTTTGTGAGATCTTGGTACCCCAGGCATATGTGTTGCAAGGCGAAATAGGAATATGACTCGCCAAGTTTTAGTAACCATGTATTACCGAAAAAGAAAGGAGACATCCACGAAGGCCTTTTCTGGTTTATTTGCCGTAGTCAGCTACTGATACCCAACTCCACTGTAGCAGCGGACATTACCGCCACACTCGAGTTTCGAACTCGCGTCTCTCTGGCCAGAGGCAAACGCTCTAACCATTGAGCCACGAGTCTGCCGTCTTGTCGGTTTGTGCTCGGGACTATACAGCAGTGGGTAACTGTACACCGATCTATTTCAGGATGTACCCATCCTGGTTGATGCCTTTTTGTGAGAGCTTGGTACCCCAAGCATATGTGTTGCATATGCTTGCATTGCTTGCATAGTAGGGAGTAAACACAGAGTAATGGCGCAATAACTGGGACAGTACGGGGACTCATCGGAGAATATGAGCGAGCAGCCAGAACTAAGCGGCCTTAGCAGTTCAGACAAGAGTATAGGAAGGAGTGGGCGGGTGAGTAGGATTCGCAGTCAGACTTTGTCACGCCGCGCCTCTTCGCCACGCGAACGAAGGCCAATTGAAAAATTGTTTTCCCGGAAGAAATTTAAACAAGGCGAAGATCACGAGACTGAAATAATTTATTGACGTCATTTAATTGCGCGACTTCTTATTCGACTAAAAACGGCCGCTGCCCATTTATAAGATACGGCAGGGATCCAAAGAGGGGTTCTAAAAGGCTGGGTTTGCTTCTGTTTCGCAATCAGTCCGGATGGTATTGTAATCGGGCATGACCAGAAACTCTCAATGCCGCTCGACTCCTAGGTCCTGGCTTATTTTAAGGAAGTTGCCAAACTGCTGGCTATTGGTCCGCCCGTCTACTTTCTTGTGACCGAGGGTCATGCCTTTGACACCCTGAAGGCGCGCATAGCTGAGGGTGATACGTAAGTGCCTATTTATAAAGACCTCTGTCAGCTTTTATCTTCCCAACTTTGTGGTTTGGTTCTCCACAGGATAACCTTCAGCTTATCTTTCTGTTTGTGTATTGTTCAAAAATATCAACCTGGACGGCCTGTGGACGCCTGTGGCATTTATCTGTCGATTTGTTCGCATCCCCGGTAGCTGTATAGATAGAAAAAAGAAGTCGTTTCAATCGCCAGAATAATAATTATATTCACCTGAGCTTTCAATCTCTTGCGGGAGTCCATAGTCAAAGAGAAAAGCTTCAACGAAAAATAAGCAACAGGGGCCGGAGCAAATAATCTGCTTTTAGGGGGGAGGGAGGGAATCCACTGATCACCATTTTCGGCTGTGCGCAGATGCCTGTAGAGGGCGCTGTATGCGGGCGCCAGCTCGATACATCGGTTGACCGAGTTGTCATTCAAGACCCAGGCCTACATCTGTTCTCGTCCTGTCCCGTTGCCGCCGAGGGCAACTATCCTCGCGGCTGCGAAGTTCAATTTGGGCAGCCACTTGTGATAATACGTCACTCCGTCGTACAGCCAGATTATGTTCGTGTAGGCGCAAACCAAGCATGCGTCCAGTCTGTCCTGTGTAATTTCAGCGACAGTTTATGCGTGGTGGGTGATACACTACGCTTGACTGCTCACTGGTATATGGTCGGTCCTTTATTCCCATGACCCGTTTGATTGGCCAATGCCCCCCATAAGTGTTGCTGTTTTCTCGGCGAGGCTTTTATTTCGTTTTGAAAGCTCATACAAATAAAATTATGATTCAGCTGATCGAACCGCCACAGGTAGGCTGATATAGACCGTGCAGATAAAAATGAATACTGAAATTTGCTATTTTCAGCTTAGTTATGCCTTCGCCGGCCGATCATACGTCCCATAGCGTCCAAAGATAGATCCACAAATCTCCCCAAACATCCTACTCGACCGGTCAGACGTGATAGTGTGCGTCTATTATTGCCTTTGATTATTAATCAGCCCCTCCTAGTAACTGTGATTTGGCTACGTAATACTAAATTTCTTTTCGTTGGCGCCGCAGACACGTGTGTTAGCTCATGTATCTGGTGCTATGCAATATGACTACCTTACACATATATGCTCGAGCCACTGTGTAGTTGAGCCAAGGTACAGCGAGTGACCTTCGGGATTTGTTGTTCCGAGGCCGCAATTGGAGGTGGATCGCCGCCGGATGTTAGTTTAGTTTTGCTTTGACAGCAGCTCTCTGGCGAAGACCCTTGAAGCCTCTCATGACGGCAGAGCCATCAACGTGTAGAGACACGAGGTGTCAGCTTCCTGGTGGAAAGCTTCAATAGACGACGAAACCCTGCGGCTGAGTTTAGGAAAGTGGCAACGATGGTGATTTGGATAGCCGAGTTGCAAACAGGTCCACCAAAAGTGCTGGCTTTAGAGTGCGTTGTGAGGGACGAACTATAGGACAGAGGACTCCGCATGAATATGATAGATAGGCTACATTTTATAGCAACCCGTGAATGAGCGGAGTGCGGCGTTTTGTTCAGCCCGGGAAACCTAGGTGAAAGCCAATGGTGGTCGCATGGTCACAACATGCATCCTTAATCAATAATGATTTTTTGGTATTAGGTCCCAATTTTATTCTCTGCAGTGTGCTCTGGTATTTGTAGAGATTTAAGTGTGCTTCTTAAATTATTTCCAATTAGCCATTCACTGCATTATCAGGTATCGTTTATCAAACCCACTACTTTTCTGGATTAAT